CTGTAATGTGTACTTGTAAAATGTACTGTTACGATGTGCTGTAATATGTACTGCTAAGATGTGCTGTAATGTGTACTGTTACGATGTGCTGTAATGTGTACTTGTAAAATGTACTGTTACGATGTGCTGTAATGTAATATGTACTCTTACGATGTGCTGTAATATGTACTGTTACAATTTGCTGTAATATGTACTGTTACGATGTGCTGTAATTGGTGCTGTTACGATTTGCTGTAATTGGTACTGTTACGATGTGCTGTAATATGTACTGCTACAATGTGCTGTAATGTGTACTGTTACGATGTGCTGTAATATGTACTGCTACAATGTGCTGTAATGTGTACTGTTACGATGTGCTGTAATATGTACTGCTACAATGTGCTGTAATGTGTACTGTTACGATGTGCTGTAATATGTACTGTTACTATGTGCTGTAATATGTACTGTTACGATTTGCTGTAATCTGTACTGTTACGATGTGATGTAATATGTACTGTGCTGTTACGATGTGCTGTAATTGGTACTGTTACGATGTGCTGTAAAATGTACTGCTAAGATGTGCTGTAATGTGTACTGTTACGATGTGCTGTAATATGTACTATTACGATGTGCTGTAATATGTACTGTTACCATTTGCTGTAATATGTACTGTTACGATTTGCTGTAATCTGTACTGTTACGATGTGATGTAATATGTACTGTGCTGTTACGATGTGCTGTAATTGGTACTGTTACGATGTGCTGTAATATGTACTGCTAAGATGTGCTGTAATGTGTACTGTTACGATGTGCTGTAATATGTACTGCTAAGATGTGCTGTAATGTGTACTGTTACGATGTGCTGTAATGTGTACTTGTAAAATGTACTGTTACGATGTGCTGTAATATGTACTATTACGATGTGCTGTAATATGAACTGTTACGATTTGCTGTAATATCTACTGTTACGATATTAACAGTTACGATTTGCTGTAATATGTACTGTTACGATTTGCCGTAATATGTACTGCTACGATGTGCTGTAATATGTACTGTTACGATGGGCTGTAATATGTACTGTTACGATGTGATGTAATATGTACTGTTACGATGTGATGTAATATGTACTGAGACGATGTGCTGTAATATGTACTGTTACGATGTGCTGTAATTGGTACTGTTACGATTTGCTGTAATATGTTCAGTTACGATGTGATGTAATATGTACTGTTACGATGTACTGTAAAATGTACTGTTACGATGTGCTGTAAAATGTACTTTACGATGTGCTGTAATATGTAATGTGTACTGTTACAATGTGATGTAATGTGTTTTGTTACGATGTGCTGTTATACGAACTGTTACGATTTGCTGTAATATCTACTGTTACGATATGCTGTGATATGAACTGTTACGATGTGCTGTAATATGAACTGTTACGATGTGCTGTAAAATGTACTGTTCCGATGTGATGTAATGTGTACTGTTACGATGTGCTGTAAAATGTACTGTTACGATGTGCTGTAATATGTACTGCTACGATGTGCTGTAATATGTACTGTTACAATTTGCTGTAATATGTACTGTTGCGATTTGCTGTAATATGTACTGTTACGATGTGCTGTAAATGAACTGTTACGATGTGCTGTAAAATGTACTGTTACGATGTGCTGTAATATGTAATGTTACGATGTGCTGTAATATGTACTGTATCGATGTGCTGCAATATGTACTGTTACAATTTGCTGTAATATGTACTGTTGCGATTTGCTGTAATATGTACTGTTACGATGTGCGGTAATATGTACTGTTACGATGTGATGTAATATGTACTGTTACGATGTGCTGTAATATGTACTGTTACGATGTTCTGTAATATGAACTGTTACGATGTGCTCTAATGTGTACTGTTCCGATGTGATGTAATGTGTATTGTTACGATGTGCTGTAAAATGTACTGTAACGATGTGCTGTAAAATGTACTGTTACGATTTGCTGTAATATGTACTGTTACGATGTGATGTAATATGTACTGTTACGATGTGCTGTAATATGTACTGTTACAATTTGCTGTAATATGTACTGTTACGATTTGCTGTAATATGTACTGTTGCGATGTGCTGTAATATGAACTGTTACGATGTGCTGTAATATGAACTGTTACGATGTGCTGTAATGTGTACTGTTCCGATGTGATGTAATGTGTACTGTTACGATGTGCTGTATAATGTACTGTAACGATGTGCTGTAAAATGACCCGTTACGATTTGCTGTAATATGTACTGTTACGATGTGCTGTAATTGGTACTGTTACGATGTGCTGTAAAATGTACTGTTACGATGTGATGTAATATGTACTGTTACGATGTGCTGTAACATCGTAACAGTACATACTACAGCACATCGTAACAGTCCCAATTACAGCACATCGTCACAGAACATATTACAGCACAGCGTAATATGTACTGTTACTATGTGCTGTAATATCTCCTGTTACGATGTGCTCTAATATGTACTGTTACTATTTGCTGTAATATGTACTGTAACGATGTGCTGTAATGTGTACTGTTCCGATGTGCTGTAATTGGTACGGTTACGATGTGCTGTAGTTGGTACTGTTACGATGCGCTGTAAAATGTACTGTTACGTTGTGCTGTAAAATGTACCGTTACGATGTGCTGTAATATGTACTGTTACGATGTGATGTAATATAAACAGTTACGATTTGCTGTAAAATGTACCGTTACGATGTGATGTAATATGAACTGTTAGGATGTGCTATAATATGAACAGTTACGATTTGCTGTAATATGTACTGATACGATGTGCTGTAATATGTACTGTTACGCGGTGCTGTAAATGATACTGTTACGATATGCTGTAATTGGTATTGTTACGATGTGCTGTAATATGCACTGTTACGATGTGATGTAATATGTACTGTTACGATGTGCTGTAAAATGTACTTTACGATGTGCTGTAATATGTACTGCTACGATGTGCTGTAATATGTACTGTAACGATGTGCTGTAATATGTACTGTTACGATTTGCTGTAATGTATACTGCTACGATGTGCTGTAATATGTACTGCTACGATGTGCTGTAATATGTACTGTTACGATGTGATGTAATATGTACTGTTACGATGTGCTGTAATATGCACTGTTACAATTTGCTGTAATATGTACTGTTACGATTTACTGTAATATGTACTGTTACGATGTGATGTAATATGTACTGCTACGATGTGCTGTAATATGTACTGTAACGATGTGCTGTAATATGTACGGTTACGATTTGCTGTAATGTATACTGCTACGATGTGCTGTAATATGTACTGTTACGATGTGATGTAATATGTACTGCTACGATGTGCTGTAATATGTACTGTTACGATGAGCTGTAATATGTACTGTTACAATTTGCTGTAATATGTACTGGTACGATTTGCTGTAATATGTACTGTTACGATGTGATGTAATATGTACTGTTACGATGTGCTGTAATACGTACTGTTACGATGTGCTGTAATATGAACTGTTACGATGTGATGTAATGTGTACTGTACCGGTGGGCTGTAAAATGTACTGTTACGATGTGCTGTAATATGTACTGCTACGATTTGCTGTAATGTGTACTGTTACGATGTTATGTAATGTGTACTGTTACGATTTGCTGTAATGTGTACTGTTACGATGTGCTCTAATTTGAACTGTTACGATTTACTCTAATATGTACTGTTACGATGTGCTGTAATATGTACTGTTACGATGTGCTGTAATATGAACTGTTACGATTTGCTGTAATGTGTACTGTTCCGATGTGATGTAATGTGTACTGTTACGATGTGATGTGATATGTACTGTTACGATGTGCTGTAAAATGTACTGTTACGATGTGCTGTAATGTGTACTGTTACGATGTTATGTAATGTGTACTGTTACGATGTGCTGTAATGTGTACTGTTACGATGTGCTCTAATTTGAACTGTTACGATTTACTCTTATATGTACTGTAACGATGTGCTGTAAAATGTACTGCTACGATGTGATGTAATATGTACTGTTACGATGTGCTGTAATATGAACTGTTACGATGTGATGTAATGTGTACTGTACCGGTGTGCTGTAAAATGTACTGTTACGATGTGCTGTAATATGTACTGTTACGATGTGATGTAATATGAACTGTAAGGATGTGCTATAATATGAACAGTTACGATCTGCTGTAATATGTACTGTTACGATGTGCTGTAATATGAACTGTTACGATGTGCTGTAATGTGTATTGTTCCGATGTGATGTAAAGTGTACGGTAACGATGTGTGTAAAATGTACTGTTACGATTTGCTGTAATATGTACTGTTACGATTTGCTGTAATGTATACTGTTACGATGTGCTGTAATATGTACTGTTACGATGTGTTGTAATATGTACTGTTACGATGTGCTGTAATATGTACTGTTACGATGTGCTGTAGTGTGTACTGTTACGATGTGCTGTAATGTATACTGCTACGATGTGCTGTAATGTGTACTGTTACGATGTGCTGTAATGTGTACTGTAACGATTGGCTGTAATGTGTACTGTTACGTGTTTATTCCTGGCTGCAGTGACAACAAGGGACGTGTTCGAACGATAAACGGATAAATATAACATGTACATCGTTTCAAAACAAAAATAGAATCAGAACCCAGACGGCAGAAGATAGTTTGTAATCGCAACTTTATTCTCAAATATGGCACAAAACTCTCTGTTCATCACATCTCAGTCCTATCGTGATCGACAGTTGTCAATGATCACAGAGAAAGTGACTATAACTTAAGTTTATAGTAAATCTTACAATGTAAAGGATTGACGTTTCCTGTAGTCTAAAATCTACATATCAACATCACAGCAGAATAGCTAGCACAAGTAAACTCGAAAGATACCTTTCCAAGGGCCAATGTTTAACATTTTATTTAAGACTGATATCAGATTCACAGTAAATATATAGTACCTCAAGTAATTGGTGTTTTTTTAAAATTATTATTGAAATAATTTCCTTTCAAGATGATTTAATCACTTTTTATGTGAACAATGTGTTATATTTTTCTCGCACAGATTCCTATCATAATTCTCAACCAGTCAAATCTAGGACCCGTTTTCTAGTATGACAATTATTATGTGGGAGTGATCTCCCCTTGAACTTGGCTTCGATTGGTAAGTCTATTTGTTTGTTAATGATTGTTGATAACAACAGGTAGTAAAAGTTAAAACAGTCGCAAAAAACGAAAATTACTGTAAGAAAGCTAACACTTAAACCTATACAATTCTGGAAAATGGAAGAATTACATTCAATCACATAAACATACAAAAACATTTAAACATGATTACAGCAAGAATACTCCATATTACTCTTGAATGACATTTTAAATCAATGTCTTTCGGTTTTCAATGATGTAGTTCTGAAGAAACAAATATAAAACTATGTCAATGATGTCATATAACGTGCCATTTTGTATCATAAAATATTTTCAATATCTACATTTTTGCATTCTCAATTTAAAGTATTTGAATTATGATTGACATGAGAAAGTAAAAGAAAAGAGATTAAAAAAATGAACCGTCTCAAAGCTCAATATTAACAGAGATTCAGCCGATGCAACTGCTATAAGTTTCGCGATACGCTTTCAAAACAAAGTTAATTGTATATACCGGCGATTAACAAATACCGATTGTACTGTCACTTTATCTGCAGTTGGACAGAAAATCTGCGGTTGTTGAATGCAGTGATAGAAAAAAAGACATTCTGATCGGTCGTTATAATATCAATGGATACAAATGTCGTATACCGTCACTGCAGTGTTAAGTTTTGTATCCAATTGATAATCTGTGATATGTCATTGGTAAAACATAATAAATGATCTTCTTTCCTGCAAAATGTTTCAATATGTAACAGGTACCACCTGTTGACGTCATCATTATTATGACGTAATAATTGTAACAATGAATACCACCGACCCTTCGCGGAAGATTGATGTTCTTATATTCCAAAGTAGGTTACATTTTCTTTTCATTTGTGACAATTTTTACTTTTCTATGATATTAAAAAAGTAGACCAAATGGTAATCAACCATATTGAAAAGCTTTCAGTTGGCATGTACCGCTGAATTTGTATTTGTGCTGTTGACGTTCTTTTTGACTAAGAATACCAACTAAAACAGTTAGATGCTTAAAAACTCGCATCCACCAAAACTTCAACACTTTTTAATTACAGATATATGAATAGATTCACCAATCGATAAATCTTGGAATCTGATAGAATTGGTACGTTTTTACTCGGCTAGAGGATCTTTATCAAGCTATATCAATATGGCCATTGCTAGTGATATTATGAAATGATTTAATTTAGTAAAGGTTTATGTCTTGTAGTAAACTTTATATTTACCCTTTCACCACCATAGACCATAATAGACTCATTCCCATAATACATGGTAGAGTCTACTAAAGTTATCTAGGGGTGAAAGGGTTAAGCTCTTTTGAGGATACTCATAGCGTTGCTGAAGGATGACCATGACCTTGTACTTTTACCTTCTATTCCGTTTAGCAACTATAACAACCGTCGACAACGCTTGCACAAATAAAAGTAATTAACAGGAGGCGAATTAAGAGTAAGGAATACACAGATATACTTTTTTCACGTCTTGTTCTTTTGATGATCTACTATGATATAAACACATATACCAGGTATTAGGAAATATCTCAGTAAGCATAACAGACATCCATATAACAAAATAGCGTCATAGAACTTTAAAATTTTGACTTCTGTCTATACTTTGAAAATGACGGATGATATAAATCTATGAAATAACGTGATATTCGAATATTCATATAATAGATAAAAATATATATTATCATAATAAATGTAATCAGTTGTAAGACAAAAGGAAAGGTAAACACAACATGGACAGCACTAAATTAGTATAAGCGGCAGGCAGCGTTCCACTACTATATCCACATTTCTCTAGGAAAATGCCATCCTCCGAAAGTTGTTGCAGATTTCTCTTTTGAGTATCCTCGTCTGCGCAAGTTCCATGAATCACTCCAGCAATTTTGAAGTGCACAATTCCTAAAACGACACAATCACACTTGAGCGGGTTGTCCAAAACGGACAGGCTGCTGACCAGATGTGGGCTGAGGTCATGCAGGAACGATAAATCAGAAATGTTATTACCATCCATTATGATTGACAGGGGGCCCTTAAGCCCGTAAAATGCTCCAGGCGAAATCGACCGTATGTGTGAGTTCTTCATTACAAGTTTCTTAGCTTTTACCCCAGAGAGGAAATGATCCGAAAGTGTGGGAAACATATTGTCTGATACGTCTAGGACGTCCAGGTGTCTAAGCGTCGTCAAAGCGTCTATTGGAAGACGCGTAAGACGCATGTCTCGGAGAATGAGCTTTTTCAGGGTCAGTTCAATCCCCTCGAACATGTTGTCAGTGAAGTCGATTAAAGGATTTCCACTCATATCCAACTCCTGTAAAGATTGTAGTGATCCAAACGTGTCGTTGGATATGTGACTTATTTTGTTGTATGAAAAATCTAAAGTTTTCAATGTCCTAAGGGGCCGTAATGCCATAATCCAAAAATAGCCTCCTGGCAGTCGAGCATTTGAAATGAGAAGAATTTCAAGCGTCTCTTCGAGTCCAGCAAATGCTTTAGCTGCAATTATTCTTAGATCTGTCCCACGGAGATTAATTTCTCTGAGATGAGAAAGCATCACAAATGCTCTATCTTGAATATGATCAAGTTTAGTGTTATATGAAAGATCTATACTAACCAAACTTGTCAATTTCAAAATGGCGGATGGAATAACGTGTAGCATGTTACCAGACAGATCCAAATGCGTCAAATTTTCAAGGCCCTCAAATATATTTTCCTTCGCTAATGCCATTTCACATTTATTTAAGCCTAGGTATTTTAAAGATCTTAAATTTAAACCGTAGAACGGTTCACCATCTAGATGCAATGGATATTTACCGTTACCGCCTAAATACAAACTCTGTAGTTTTGTCATGTTCATTACAAAGTTTAAGTTTTTAAAATCCAGTCCAACATTTTCCAAGTAAAGGACTTGCAATGTACCACGTAAATGTGTAAAAGCATTATCAGTAATTCTTGAAAACTTGTTGTGACTTAAATCAAGTTGAAGTAAATTTGAGGTCGGGAATCTCCCACCAGTGAGTCTTACAGCAGTTTCCTGAACATTATGCCTCATAGAAAGACGCTCCAATTTCAGCAACCTCTTCAGGAAATTGATATTGTTGAACCTAAGGTTGATATCGTCCATTAAAAGGACGCGGAGTGTTGAACGAATAGGTCTAAACACATCGTCTCGGATCGCTGCAAACCTGTTGTGACTCAAATCTAGCTCTTCAATCCGTAATCCGCGAAACGTGGATTTATTTAGACTCACAGTATGGAATGAATTATTAGAGAGTATTAATTTCATAATCAATGCGTTTTTAAATTCTTCAAAATTTGGTATGTTTGTTAGTCGTTTGTCACTACAGTCGAGTTTAGACACCATCAATGTATCGTTTTGATTCCCTTCAGCAAGCGTACATATACAATGCGCAACTTCCGGACAGGAAGTAGCATACAGTTCCACCAGGCGGAGGATTAGAAACATCCAGCACGTGACTCTACCTCTCATCGCCATTCTAGAACCTGGAAATACAAAACAGAAACTGTTTACAACACAGATAATATGTTTCTTGTAAACTACATGAACGTCAGCGTATGTACCGGTTCCGAGACGATTTACAACTGTTTAACAATACCATGTTACTACAGTTTATTTTCAACTTTTAAAAAGAAAATGAAAGGTGAATTACTCTGTATGCACTGTATCGTATGTCATGGCTTGTGATGTAAAAGTGGACTTATTGCGGTATTCTCCAGGATGGAGATCAAGATTTTCCGCTTTCTGAAATAGACAAATACAATCGTCACATTCTAAAATTTAGTATCGAACCCTTACCGTAGTTACAGAAAATGTACGATTTAAATCCTTTTATTCTAACGCAGAAAATGAATTATCTATCCATTGTGGCTTTGAGTTATGTGTGCAGTAGTTTCGTATAAGCAAGGCTAGGAATCGTCGCTTACGGTGAATCGGGCGGTAGCGCTACTTAATTCACTGGGTCTCCTAAGGGCCATTATGGTGTATCACGTCTACTTTCTCGTTATTGAGGCCCTAGACGGGAAACCTTGTCCCTAATCAATTCACACTTTCCATTTCGAGGCGAATTTGTGAATGAATAATACGTTTAGCGTTTTGAGACCTCCTAAAATAGTTTTATTTTATGGTTGAGTTTTGAAAATCGAAAATAAAGTGGTAAAAGTCACTGTCCTCTAACGGCAACATTTCACAGCATCAGCATGTACACGTTTTAATGGATTCACAAGTCAAATAAAAATGTATATATTTGAACCATTATTACAATACATAAAGTACATGCAATAAAAACATCATGATACTTTTGGTATAAACTAATAGTAAACTGAACACTTTTCCTTATGTCACGTTCAATGAAACAGCTTTTATATTCGAATGGTTGACTTCCCCTTTTTACATTATGTGCAGCAAGCGTTTTTAAGTTATAGAAAAGCCTTATTATACAAACATGTACCCAATACAGGTCTGTTCAAGATGATAAGAAATAAACGGAATATTTCAGAAAAAAAGTGTTATAATTACAAAAATATCTTATTTTTGCAATGATAGACTTATATTAACATTTAGTGTTTTTTTCACGTATATACAAGTTGGATAGTATATGGTCTTATGAACTTTTAGGTAAAAAGTTAAATACTTAATTACTGTGAAATATTGGACAACATAATTTACTCATTTGTAGTATAGCATTGTCAGTGCCATTTTCACCATTTCAATTTTACATCAAACCACGTTAAAGGCGTTTATAGACAATATTATTAACAACAATGCATGTCGTCTCACCAATGCCCGCTATCATTCACGTACTTCGTACAGAAATACCTAAACACATATATTCTGTTTCAGTTTTAATAGTGTGTTTCTGACAAAGGTACATGCAGCTCTTACGAAATTCTTGTACGAGAGTAAACTGTAGAGAAGGTTAAAATTGTTCACGGCAAAATGAATAAATGCATTAAAATGAAAGCTGGATGGAAATAATAAGAGGGGGACCTTAGTGAGTTACATTGCTTAGGTGTTCAATTCGAACAATGTTAAATGATATGTTCATTATAAAACAATTGTGTGACGCTTTCTAAAACGAGCTCAGTACAAACGGACTTAACGTGTCGATTGGCTGTAAAACGTTTACAATGAGTGTACCCCATATTGGGCCCATATCGGTATGTGTCTGCTGGTCCCAGGTCCTCGTAATGGCGGGAAAGTTAGGCTCCATCGTCTGCGTATCACGTGAGAACCATTAATCTTATCGTTCTCCGATGAAATGACAATAAATGACTGTCATTTGTAGCAAATAGAATTCAAATTAGAGCCTTGATTGGGGACCTCTCACCCTCCGTAAAATCCATCTCATTTATTCGTCATCCAACATTTAGTTACTGCGGGATATGCACTGCCATGTTCTTCCGCATGCTAATATTTGCGCTACGGAAACGTATGGTTGACTGTACAGAATAGCGCATTAGGACAACGCTGGTGTATAACTAGTAGTCATATAGTTTTTAGTGCAATATTAACTCATGTGTCATCGCAAGTAATGAAAATGATATGCATTGTTCACAAACAGTCAATAGGTCAGGGTTTAACAATTTTCACATGTTTACCCCACCATCACTCGTATCATTGTTAATTCCATTCCAGTAACTCCCCGCCGTCATGTCAATAAGCATGCACGTGTTGTACATATAAGCACTAGGTCCTGTGATACCTGTACATTCTGTACTCTTTACAGTACCTCCCCGCCGTCATGTCAATAAGCATGCACGTGTTGTACATATAAGCACTAGGTCCTGTGATACCTGTACATTCTGTACTCTTTACAGTAACTCCCCGCCGTCATGTCAATAAGCATGCACGTGTTGTACATATAAGCACTAGGTCCTGTGATGCCTGTACATTCTGTACACTATACAGTAACTCCCCGCCGTCATGTCAATAAGCATGAACGTGTTGTACATATAAGCACTAGGTCCTGTGATGCCTATACATTCTGTACTCTTTACAGTAATTCATTCATTAAATCTCACCAAACTCTGAATTATTTCTGAAAACTTGGATTGAAATTTGATTTTAAATGAATGTATGTTTTCTCTGTTGACTACCCGTTTCATGAACTAGTGCAGGTTTTTTTTTCGTATTTTGTTTTATTTTATTGTGCGCATTCTTTTCACCAAGCGAAGATAAACATTTTGAATCCAGTGCAAATTTTGTGAGATTCTTCTGTTAATAACCGAACTGTGCCGTATTAAGCTGATGCCGTACTTTATGGTAAGTAGCGTAGCGTACACAATACCCATATAGATAACTAACACAATACCCATATAGATAACTAACACAATACCCATATAGATAACTAACACAATACCCATATAGATAACTAACACAATACCCATATAGATAACTAACACAATACCCATATAGATAACTAACACAATACCCATATAGATAACTAACACAATACCCATATAGATAACTAACACAATACCCATATAGATAACTAACACAATACCCATATAGATAACTAACACAATACCCATATAGATAACTAACACACTTGTGAACTCCTTGGATAACAACGTTAGTAAATCGATAGCCTAAAGAAAATCTCAGTTTGATTCCGAAAATCGTAAATCTAAATCACTGACCGGTAACAGTTTTTGATTATGTAACCAATTTCGTTCGAGGAAACGTTATCCCTAGACTCCGTCTGGTAAATGTCATGCTCCGCCCCGGGACCGACTAGTACGGATAGCTGGTGATATGCATTAAAATCTATAGAACACATTTAATGTTCTGAAAAGCCGCCGAACACTCCATATCAATGTCAGAGTGTCTATGTAGTACATGCTATACACTACCGGTACTGTCTTTATTTCTACATGTCTATTGGTACAACAGCTACTAATCAGTTATACTCATGTTGGCCTGTATAAGTATGTTAATCTATAGTTAATGTTAGACAGACATGTTTGCACATAATTATGTACATATCGAATATGAACCTTTAACGAACAGTCCCAGCTGTTGAGGACCAGTTGGGCGTATCGACCTAACGGTTGTCGTTTTCTGTATTTTTCGAACGGCCGATCGTTAATTTCCCCCCAAAGTACAGTCTGACATACATAGACGAGGCGTATACAAATGCGCATCAATATAAATGAAGTCTTTTAATCCATTTCATAATTGATCCGCCGTTGAAATCTCGTTTCTTTCTAAGTACAGTCCGACTCGGGCGAGGCGCATGAACTTATGCATCAATCTTACAGTTACTGTAAGTCGTTTAATACCCTTCAAAAGTGACCAGCCGTTTTAGTTAAATTTACCTTCAAAATACATTTAAACTAAAGCTAAATCTTATTTTATGCATCAAGACTGCTATAGGAGAAACCAGGATGTATCGAACAGTATCGCATTATTACATTTTCTGAAGAAGCCATATAGAGACGAATTCCTTTGTAGAAAATCAATGATACAATTAAAGATTTACCTCAAGATACTTATAACAAAGCGAGACAAACTAATACAGTAGAAGCTTCAAGTTAAAATAAACTATTGATACATTAATGTTTCATCATTTTGTCATATTTTGGAATATCGTTGCTCGAATGTTTCTTATCATGAAAGAAATACCGCTAGGCATTGCTTAGCAACTGTGGCATTATACACTAGAATTAGTTGTCTCAACAGTTAATTGTACAGTTGTCATTATTTCGTTATATTCACGTTTTCTTTATACAGTTCTAAGATAACCTACCAACCAAACATTTTTGTTACAATCCAATTAGAACTATTGCACGTGACTAGTTTGAAATCGGAAACAGTTCGGATCTTTCCATCTGACTGTTGGCATAATCAGAGACAAATAATGACGTGACATCAAATTGAAATTATTACGTAAAATTTCCGAAAATTTCTCAATGACGTTCGCCGATTGTCACAACTGGTAACCATAGTAAACACGATTTTGATAAAATGATGTTGCTTTGTTGTTTTGAACGTAAAGATAATAACTGAAAAGCATCATTTTAGCATTTATGGTGGTATACACTTGTGTAAAATAAACTCCTTGATGAGTGGTATCCCCTTGTGTAAAATAAACGCCTTGATGGTGGTATCCACTTGTGTAAAATAAACGCCTTGATGGTGGTATACACTTATGTAAAATAAACTCCTTGATGAGTGGTATACGCTTGTGTAAAATAAACTCCTTGATGGTGGTATCCACTTGTGTAAAATAACCTCCTTGATGAGTGGTATACACTTGTGTAAAATAAACTCCTTGATGAGTGATATACTCTTGTGTAAAATAAACTCAATGATGGTGGTATACACTTGTGTAAAATAAACTCCTTGATGGTGGT